CGAAGGGCAGAGAGAATGTTTCCGATAGACCCTCGGCAAAACTTTAGAGCATGTATAGAAATTCAGGTATAATACTACAACATTATAGGAGGAATTATGGGAAGCGAGGCAGGAGTCGGACGGAAACTTTAACCAAGTAAAGTTATGACAACCAGTAACATGCAAATTGCTGAACAGTTGAATGAACTTTTATCTACAGCAATCGCGGGTATCATCACAAAAACACAAATTAAGGCCAGCTTTCTTATGGTTGTCAAGACAATTGAGATGCTTACCTTACTGAAATAGTGCGGTACAACTTTAAATTGGGACGCCCGGTTGGCAAAAAGGCAAACTTCAAGTAATTGTGCACTTGGATTTTTCAAAAAAATCTGCAAACAATAACCACTTTTTTTATAAAGATCTGCAAACATTAACAACATTAATAAAGGCATAGTGTTTGTCTTTTGATCAGGTAAAGTAAAATAAAGGTTTAGTTTCACATGAGCGCAGTTAAAAACATTGACATGCAATTACCACTTCAACCATATGAACCAAATTCTAAATTTCCAAAACATGCTGCCCTACAAACAACACCTCAATGCCAGGCTCCGTACAAATTACCACACATGAAAAACAAGGATGGTTTGTGCTGAATTAAATTGATTTTGACTTTTAGAATTCTCAGTTTTACTTTACTTCTTTCAATAGGAGTTTCAAACTTCCTTCCTATTTCAGAAGAATTTGTCTCATGAAGTAGAAGGCATCTCCAAAATTCTCAGCAAAGAAGTACTTCCTAAATAAATCAACAGAGTGTCTACCAACACAAATGAGGAAGAAATTTTCTCTTCCTAAGTGTAAATTGTGAAGCAGAGCTGTTCCCCATTCGCTAAACATGGAATCACTTCAATCCATTGAGGAGACTTTAGACCTAAACTATTGCACTGCCATCATGCAAAATGTCAACAACAATTGCACTCGTGTTTTCCAAGCATCTTCTATCTCTTCCTAGCAATAGCCATCAGGAAAACCACTAAAGATAGTTTCTTGATCAAATCAGGAAAATTCAGACACCCCNCAAAACAAAACAGAAATTCTTAGGCAACTGGCTGCCTAAATCTGCATAAATGCAATCCAAACATATACTCATAAAGTATAAGTGCTAATATATGGTCCAAGAACTCTCTAAAACTAAAAAATAACTGCGTCAGCAGGTTCAGATAATTCCCATACAGAGTAATCTTTTGGCTCAAGCCAACTGTAGCCGAGGCGACAATTAATTTTTCCAAGTAAATTTTGTCATCAGATCATTTCAAAATTAAATTCTACATGGAAAATATCTGAGTTTGTATCACAGCTTGTTACAGAAAAGGATGCAGGTTTTACAAGTTTCAAGAACACAAAAGGAACCCAAAAAATCCTTTTTTTTAAATTGCATTTCATTTTTAAATAGAAGTAATATTACCAATACTCAAAATAGAAACCAATGGAGACAGGCAATTAACAATATGAAACCATCTACAATGCAAGTGCGCAAAACGGCATAACCAAATAAAACCTTATAGATTAAAAGAAAATGTGTGGATCACAGATAAATGATAGGCTAGAGATGAAAATGATGAATCAAATTTTGCCAATACGGAGAAGTTACTGGAAGATTAAAAAAGAAATTTACCTTTCTGGAAAGCCGGAGAGAAAGGAAAGGTAATAGTAGTATATGCTAAGAGGCAGTAATGGACATTTCAAACTGCAATCGATGACAAATAACGCGTTGAGCGAGCCCCCCAGATCCAAAACTTAGAAGCCAAGATTGCATAGGTAGAAATTATGAGACCCATATTTTATGACCCGACCCAGCCAGTTTTTTTTTTTTTATTGCTAAAATCATTTTCTTCCTCTAATTTTAAGAATACAACTCATATATTTTTCCTATACTGATCTCCCGTAAAAAGAAGTAACTAAAAAGTAAATTTTTATAATGAGTGATAAAATCGATCTTTCATATCAAAATAATATTTGTGGCACATTAGATGCGTGTTAATACTTAATAAAATTATTCCCAATTTATCATTTACAATTAACAAAATGATATTTTAAAAAGAAATCAAAGAGAACAGTATTCTAAGTTGAGTTTGCTAGCCATAGTAGAGATTTTATATCAGGTGGAAATATAAAGAATTCTAATACTTTTCATTTTATTTTTATTTGGGACAAAAATGGCCTAAAATGAGCTGAGAATATGATTTATGAAAATTCATATAACTGGTCTCGACTTGTTTGGAATTGAAAGTAATTGTAGTTTATTTGTTTGTTTGTTTGTTTGTTTCGAAGGGACTTGGTGATCATATGAGCAAAAACCAAAGGTATGTGTGAGCACGTGATTTTTGTTTTTGCGCGACAGTCGCTCCAAAAGAATAAAAATTGGTCCTGCTGTACAATTTTTGGATTTCTGTGCGGCACTTTGTTGATTTGTTCGTGACTTTGGCCCGTTTTTATTTATTTACTTTATTAAAACAAAATTCAAAAAAAATGTGTACGTGTCATGCATAATCTGAACCGTAACATGGTTTAAATAGAAAAGCATAAACAAGCATCTTTGTCCGTGATTTTGTTTTGTTTAATTTTACCTATTTTGAATTATTTTAATGTGTGTGCAAATAATTGTATTAGGTGTTTATTTTTTGATTTGATTTTTATTTTTATAATAAAAGTAAAAAAGAAAAAAAAAGGAAAAAAGGGGGCCCTTCCCTTCCGGACTTGGGCCAATTCTAACAAAATTGGCCCAAACAAACAGCCCAAAACCCAGGCCTGCCCGGTCCAGACCACCTGATACCCAGGGCGTCCAAACGACGCCGTTTTAGTCCAGTGTGATTTGGGCCGTTGATCTCAGATTGATCAACGGCCAAGATCACTTCCCCACAACCCACTGAGGAACCCGACCCGTTTTCACCCGGACCAACCCAAAACCCTTTACCCTCAAAACGACACCGTTCCACTTAAGACCATCAGATCCAAACCGTAGATCTAGATTGATCTAACGGTTGAGATCAACCCACCCACTAACTATATAAGCCCAGAACCTTTACCCTGCCCCCCCTATCCGAACCCCAGCCTTCGTCTCCACGAACCCTTCCCCTCAAACCCTAGCCGCCCCTGCACACCTTCACCAGAAACCCGGCGGCATGAACGCCGGTGACCTCCACCTGAAC